ATAATTACATTATTTATATGTATCACTATACATTTATTACGTATTTAAGCATATAACTTTGTGGAAGCAAAAACAGGTACCCCATACATAATTTGAAGGAATCCTATTTTTAATGATGCCACTAATCAATAATTATAATTAATTATACAACCAATTAACTTTATATTATAATTAATGCAGAATTAATAACATTATTCATTGCATAATTACATTATTTATATGTATCACTGTACATTTATTACGTATTTAAGCATATAACTTTGTGGAAGCAAAAACAGGTACCCCATACATAATTTGTATTTGGATTCAGACAAAACAGCTCAAAAAAAGACAATTTTCTCTTATTAATGCTGATACCAGTTCTTTATGTTTCAGAGCAATAATCAAACTGTTAACTCATAAAAAATAGATGAAATGGATTAAAAAAGAACACAAAATAACATTTTCAGATAAAAACAGGATTGATCGGTAAGAATTCCACATTAAAAGAAACTATAAATTGTTCAGGTAGAAGAAGAAAAAACTATCACAAGCCTAAGTTCAGAATGACAGGAGGTAAATGTGTAGTAAATTTAAGGGAGTTTGCATGTACAAAACTTCTAATGTAACCTTTCTTTGTATTCAAAATATGTAAAGAATTATAAAATAACAAAACTGAAAGTAAATAAGTGAAGCTACATTTGGCAAGAATCTTTTATTGTGTAGTAAATAATAGACCGATTTCATCAGACTTGAAACAAAGAACATGCTGTATGTAATCTTTACCATGAAAATGTCAAAAAGAGTACATGATTAGGAGATTAATTATATAGAGTAAAAATGTGATAATAGAAAATGATGACTCCAAAAGGAGGCTGTGCAGAAAGTAATTAACATAGCAGACTTGAGAATCTGTCTTAAAAAGTTCATCTCTTAAATTTGTTTCGTGGTCAGCCTCTAGAAACTAGGATTTTGATTAAGTTTATACCACAATAACTAATTAACAGTGACTCCTTGTACCTAAACTGTTTGTGAAAACAGTGTACATCTTACTTTGAGCTTTGCTTTCCTTCTGTGATTCTGGAATTTAGTATGTGCTAGGTAGAGGGTACCTGAATAACCAGCCCCCAGTAAAAACCTCGAGCACTGCGTCCCTTGTGAGTTTCCTTGGCAGACACCATTTCACACAGGTCCTCCCAGCTCCTGGGTACATCAAGCACGCCCCGCAGGACTCCGGCAGGAGAGGTCTTTGGGAAGCTTGCACCTGGTTTCCTCTGGAATCACCCCGCATGCCTTTTCCCTATGCCACTTTTGCTCTGTGTTCTAAATATGTCAGTGACATGCTGAGGCCTGTGCACCCTCATAGTGAGCCAGCTGAACTGCGGGTAGCTGTAGTACCCCAACAAAGAAGCAAAAAGGAGAGAAAAGTGAATGTAACAGAGAGGATAAATTGAAAGGAGACACTGAGGTTGTAAATTTAAACTTAATTATATTAGTTGTTACGGTTAACATATTTGAACCATTTACCAAAATAGGTGATACGTTACTCCAGAATAAAGTTATCAAGAAATTGTTGAAGGATTTAATTTATACATACTATGTTCTCTGGCAACAGTGGAATTAAAACTAGATATCAGAAACCAAAAACAACAGACAATCTTCATGTGTTTAAATATTTAAAAAACATATTTCTAAAATAAATACTTTTTTTGGGCCAAAAAGTAATCAAAATTGAAATCAGAAAATATTTTCAAGAGCTGGGCGTGGTGGCACATGCCTGTGATGCCAGCACTCGGGAGGCTGAGGTAGGAGGATTGCTGCAAGTTTGATGCTAGCCTGGGCTACAAAGTGAGTTCAAGTCCTGCCTGAACTACAGAGTGAGGCCTTGTCTCAAAGAAAATACTTTCAAGTCAATAGTAATGCAAATACCTCATGGTAAAAGTTGTAAGCAAAATAGCAATATAGGCAGCTCAAGGTCCCTGTTCTTCTCCACCTCTGTCCCCTGTGAGAAACATTAAAATGAACAGCAAAATAGCAAGGACAAAAACAAAACATAAAAACAACCAAGGAGAATCTGTAAGAACCAGCTCTGTAAGAAATCTGGATAAAGTCTAAAGGTGACGGGAACCCACCAAATGCTGAATCAAGAAAAGGGCCACTTAGACTTGCAGTGGTTTTGCTGGCTCTTCTGGGTCCCCGTGGCAGCTCAGAAGCACTCGTGGGGATAGCAGCCCACTTTCTGAGTTTGACTCTGGTCCCTGGCTCAGGAGGAAGCAGAGCACACCTTTTGTGTATGTCTGCTCTAACCACCTCTGAGGGGCGCTGACACTGATAGTGTTCATCTGTCTTTCACCTATCAAGAACTCACGTGGGCAAGAAGAACAAGTTGTATCTCTGATAAAGATTTAATATCCAGAATATATAAAGAATGGCTGCAACTCAGTAATAAAATAAAAAAACAGTTCAAAAGTGAGCATGTGTGGTGGCACACGCCTGTAATCCCAGCATTTGGGAGGCTGAAGCAGGAGGATCATTGTGAGTTTGAGACCAGCCTAGGCTACAAAGTGAGCTCAAGGCCAGCCTGAGCTGCATAGCGAGGTTTTGTCTCCAAAAAAAGAAAAAGTGAGTGTGGCTTTTAAGTGGACATTTTCCTAAGGAAGACACACAGTGAGCAACAAGTACACCAAGAGATATTCAATATCATTAGGGTTAGAGAAATACAAATCAGAGCCTCCACAAGAAACCACTTTGCACCTGTTGGTGCAAGTGGAAAGTAACAAGTGTGGCCAAGAAAATGGAAAACTGGAACCTGTGAATGTTGCTGGTATGGATGTAAAGTGTGGAAAAAGTTAAATAGTTATCATAGGACACAAGGATTTTACTTCCAGGTATATATACAAAAGAACTGAGTACTTGACTGAAATGAATACTTGTGTGCAGCATTGTTTACATTAGTCAAAGAGTAAAAGACGCTGAGTTGCAGTGGGTGAGTAGGTAAACAGGTATGGCGATACACACAGTGGAATGCCACCCAGTACAGAAAGGAATGCAATTCTGGTACATGCCCACAACCTGAATGAACATATAAAACATGTTACACCAAGTAAGCCTGACATAGCAGGACGGATACTGTATAATTTCACTTACATGAACTAGGCAAACAGATATATGAAAGTAGATTAGGAATTACCAGGGGCCACTGGAAGGATGGAATAGGGAGTAGTTGTTTTAATGGATATGGCATTTCTGTTTGTGGTGATGAAAAAAATATTGGAAATATTGTTTGTTTGTTTGTTTGTTTTTGGTTTTTCTCTGGTACCGGGAACTGAACTCACGTATTGGAAATATTGTTGATGGTTACAGAACACTGTGAATGTAATTAACATCAGTGAATTTTACACTTGAAATAGTTAAAATGGGAATTTCCCCATTATATGTATTTTTTCACAATAAAAAGTTGTGGGATTAAAAAAAGAACTTTCAGGATGTAGCTAAAGCTGTTCTTGTAAGAGTAATTTTATTCTGAAATGACTACATTAGAAAATATGCCAGTTGGAATTTATTAGGAAACAATCAGCAAATTCCTTTCTGAAATGATTACAGAGAGAATGTAGGAGGAGAGCAAAGATGAAGATGAAAACTTCTGCACTCCAAATAGATTCATGAATTCAGTGCAATTTTAATCAGAATCCCTGCCAGTTTTGTTTATGGTGAAGCTTGAGAAGCCAAGTCGAAAGTGGAAATGGAAATGCAAGTATTGAGAAATGCTAATTTTTTTTAAGAAGACCAAAATTAGAGATGATTTCTTCAGAGTGTGAAGACTTGTTATAATCTACAGGAGTTAAGATAGTGTGACATTGTTATAAACAAATAAATGAATGTAATCTTCTCAACCAGAAGATTTAAGCCCCTCGTGCCCTACAGTATCCATTAAGTATGATGAATTAAGTTGTTTCTTCTGTGGCTCTAAAGTTGTATACTTTCTGAAAAAAATTAAAAGTATAGAAGAAACTCAGTTTTCTATGAAGTTTACTTTTCTTATGAAGTTCAAATTTAAATTTGTCTTTTTTTTCCTCCACAGTATTGAGCTCAGAGAATTAGAGAAGAAATTAAGAGCTGCTTACATGAATAAAGAGAGGGCAGCCCAGATTGCAGAGAAGGATGCCATTAAGTACGAGCAAATGGTAATGTTTCTGGTCATTAGGCTTTTTATGTTTTGGGCTTCATTTAGAAAATTTTTAGTGTTTCTTTTTTTTTTTTTTTTTTTTGGTTTTTCTCCAGTACCGGGAACCGAACTCACAACCTTGCGCATGCCAGGCAGGCGCTTTTTGCCGCTGAGCTAAATTCCCAGCCCCTTAGAAAATTTTTAAAAACTAATTTTGTGTAAAGAATTCTCACTGCTAGATTTCTCCAATACTTATATACCTGAGGGTATCGAAAATCTTCAGTAAATTCATATGGAACCTTGCTCAATTTAATAGTAAAGTCTTTCAGAGGCCTACAGAACTCCCGACATTGGTATGGCCTCTACCTGATTATTCTTTGATAACACAGAATAGTGTAAGTTGTTAACAAGACTGTATTTTAAAAGGTTATTAATTTTTTTAATTTTTAAAGTGTTTTATGATTTGATACTTTTATGAGGCAACTTGAAAAATATGACAATTTTTAAAAGTTAAAGTTTTCTTTCACAAGTATCTTTAATTGCATTCCTTTTTTTTTTGGTATCGGGAATTGAACTCAGGACCTTGCGCTTGCCAGGCAGGCGCTTGTGCCGCTGAGCTAGATCCCCGGCCCTTTTAATTGCATTCTTGTGGCTGCCTCAGTTTCTTGAATCAATTCAAAGTATTTACCTTTCATGGTCATTTTGACTTTGGGGAAGAACCAGAAGTTGCCTGGTGCCAGATCCAGTGGATACAGTGGATGAGAACAAATGGTTATGTTTTTACAAACCTGCCTTTCCATTAAGTGATACTCAGCAGCAACGTTCACTATATTCTTTATCAAACATTGTAAAACACAAAAGACTTGTAGAACCACTTCAGAAAGTAGCAAGACAATGGGATAGGCAAATTTGAAGTGAGAGGAAATTAATGGCCATTTTTTTACTGTAGTACATTTTCTTAAGTGTAAACATTCACCATTATATTTCAGTTATACCTCATATGTAGGAAAGTTTCCCATTTTTAAAAAGGGACTCAGGTTTTTCTTTGTTTTTTTCCCCTTTTCTAATTCCTGATATGCTACCACTTTGAGGGATTGCTCTTGGGCAAAGGAATCTCAGACATACTGACTAGTACTGTTACACAATGTAAATATATAATCGGGTTTATTCAGTTAACACTTAACTATAGAGTATATGTCATCCTTTTGGCCTCATTGTCATACACAAAGACCAGACAATTGTATGTATATGTGTGTGTATATTTTGTGTATACACGTATACAAGTTAGAAATGGTATAATAGTTAACCCATGCAGTGCAATGTGAGCATTTTTAAGAATAGGCACAAGATGTAAGAAGCACATATGTGTTATGTATGCATACATTTGTTGTACTATAGAAAATGTCTAGAGGGTCCATAGCATACTGTTAATGATAACAGCATTAGTTGTGGCAGGTGGTTGAAATCCCAAGGCATATAAGGTCTATCCTTTGAATAACCAAAATAGAACACAATTTGACGAGTGGTTTTTAGTTCTAATATTTCTGATTGTTAAAGTTATTCAAGGTCATTGCAGACATTTTACTCTGACTTCTAAAAGAATTTAGAATGATATTTCCAAATCATAATTGATGTACACAGTTAAAGCCAGATATTTGTAGGCCTTAACCAGGTGTCAGGATATCTAGGTAGTAGTTTGGCTCAGTTTCCATAAGCCTTGATTTTCTTGTCTGTAAATTGAGAACATTGCATTTCTAATGTAATTTCTAATGTGTGCATATGTAATTATGCATACATAAAAGTTATGTCATTTCATATTTTTTAAAAGAAGTTAGTATAACATATGCAAAAAAAGAAAATTGTGTCATATTTGTGTTTGTTTTATAGGCATCAATTATATCGAGAATGACATTTATCTTTTAATATTTTAACCTGTTTCTTCTTTATATTTGATACTGCAGAACTATTCCTGCCTTTGGGACATGGTCATGAAGGCAAATGATAATTTAAAAAGTTGTTCCAGTATATTTCATTTACAATTTATTTTGTTAAATTATTTCATAACACTCAAAAGAATTAAGGAGCTTAACGCATCCAAGAAAAGGTTTGTCTCTTAACTCCGCAGGAATGGTTCTGAATGAATGAGTTAAAGACTGTGAGAAACAGGTACAGACACATATGTGTCCCTTTTACGTTAAAGTGATTATGCAAGGCCCTTGATAACTGAGAAGGGGCAAACTTAAAGGTTCATGGCGAGAAAGGAAGGTTGGCTGGAAGAAAACTTGAGTTGCCCATAGTCATTTAATAGCAGACTTGTACGAAAGACCTCAGACCATCTTTATACCCAATAGCAATTGATAAACACTGGAGCTAAAAACTAAGAAAATTACCAAGATCAACTTGTAAATAGAAGAAAAAGATGATTAAACTTTTGAGTTAAACAGTTACTAATGAAGTACTTATAATTTCACTTCTCGTTTCCCAATGTGAATTCATGAATCATCCTTGTCAGATTTTGCCCTGAGAGAGCTTCCGAAAGGAACAGGAAAGCCTCCCCTCTCCAGCGTCTGACTCCTTCACATTCTTCAGGTCACCGTGATTTACTTTTGCTTTTGTTTCTAGAACAGGCTTTAAAATGTCCAGTTGGTCTATTTAAAATAATCCGTCATACTTTTTTCACATTTGAAAATGGAAAGATAAATTTTGTTTTAATATCAGAAACGTGATGCTGAAATAGCCAAAACCATGATGGAAGAGCACGAGAGAGTGATGAAGGAGGAAAGTGCTCTAGAAGACAAACGGAGCAAAGAGAAAGCACAGTACTATCTTGACTTAGAGAAACAACTTGAAGAACAAGAAAAGAGAAAGCAGGAAGCTTATGAGCAGTTGCTGAAAGAAAAGCTGATGGTTGATGAAATCGTTAGGAAAATATATGAAGAAGATCAGTTGTAAGTTTATCCCATTTTTTCAAATGGCTAAACATTTCCTTTACATTGGTCATGGGTTTGTTGTAAAGAGGTGAGAAACAGGACAGCGACTGATACATATCTATTAGTTATGGTCACATAAATTTGAGGCCAGTTCTTCATCTTGTCAGCATGATGATTAATAAATTACCTGATAATAAATGCTTGATGGAATGACTTCAACCCTTTTCTTAAATATACCTGTGTCATAGTCTGATGAATTTTCTTGGTAGTCAGCTTAAGTGTAGAGTACCGCAAGGCTTATGTCAACAGCTTGTAGTCTTTCTGAAATGATAATGCATGAAACTTGATTAGTGGGTTAGAAGAGAAGCATAGTAGTGTTTTCCCAGAGAAAAGTCATACCTGACATTATATTTAGTGGCACATAGAAGGCATTCAAAATGTTTGTTGCTTTAATAAATGAATAAAGTATATATAGGAAGGGTGTTTTCCCCCATATTATTACCAAGAGAAGGAAATTATTTTGTTGTTATTACTGTTACTATAAAACTGTATCACTATTGTTTTTTAGGGAAAGACAACAAAAGTTAGAAAAAATGAATGCAACTCGGAAGTACATTGAAGAGTTTCAGAAAGAGCAGGCTCTGTGGAGAAAAAAGAAGCGTGAGGAGATGGAAGAGGAAAACCGGAAAATCCTGGAGTTTGCCAACATGCAGCAACAGAGAGAAGAAGAAAGGATGGCAAAAGTTCAAGAAACTGAGGGGAAAAGACTGCAGCTTCAAAACATGGTATTAAAATAAACTCTTCCTTAACACTGGTAAAATTCTAAAATACTGGTTACAAAGCTTGGGTCCTATAAATTGTTTTTTTCAATTTATCAGCTGATTCAGAAATTGGAAGAAATTCTGCAACAGCGTGAAGATTTGGAACAAGTGCGACAAGAATTATACCAGGAAGAAGCAGCTGAAGTTTATAAGAGGAAAATAAAAGTAAGTTTCAGAAATTTCAAAGAACAATTAATATAATTTTGAGGCAAAGTGGTAGAAAGATAGATGTGAACATGTTTTTGTTTATTACGTTGTATGTAAGATGGTATAAACACTCCAGCTAAAAGAACAGGTAAGGATTTTGAAGGTACATTTTCATCTCGATTTCTAATTAGTTGCCCTATAATCAGAAAACCTATTTGGTCTGGATTTAAAGCCTTGAAAATTATTGATATTTTCAAGATGAGTAAAAAAGACAGACCCAGTTTACAAACTGCTTCATAAAAAACATGATGTTAGCTATGTTGTGTATAGTCACCACAGTTTAAATATGACACACAGTTTAAAAGTGAAGAGGTGGGGGGCTGGGGATTTAGCTCAGTGGCACAGCGCCTGCCCGGCAAGCACAAGGCTGTGAGTTCGATCCCCGGTACCGGGAAAAAAAAAAAAAAAAAAAAAAAAAAAAGGGAAGAGGGGAAAAAAAAAACTCCAAGTTACCACTAATTAAAACGAGCTGGAGTGGAGGGTTAATGAAACAAAGTAAACTTCGGGACAAGGCATTTTTTTATCATAATAACTTCATTTGATGGATGTAAAAGTCCTAAAAGTATGTAAACCTAAATAAAGCTTCATCATGAAACAAAGTAACAGGATGAAAAGAGAAACAGGCAAATCCATAATCAGGGTTGTAGATTTTAATATTTTTTTGTCATTCATATAGAGACCAGGTGGTCACAACCATATGATATAGTGCTGAATATCAGTATAAACAAAATTGTCCTTACATTTTGAGAATGCTGTACCCAAGAACTGCAGACTAGAAATTGTATTTAAGTACACATGTGACATTCACAAAGACAGATCATATCCTAGATGTAAAGTAAATCTCAATAATTTTCAAGGCTTTAAATCCATACCAAATAGGTTTTTTGACTGTAGGGCAACTAATTAGTAATCGGGATGAAAATGTACCTTCAAAATCCTTAAAGACTGTAATTAAAAAAAAAATTCTTAGTAAACAATGAACAAAGGAAAACATCATGGTGAAAATTAAGTATTTCAGGCTTAAAGATCATAAAAGAAGAGTATAGCAAAATATATGAAATGCAGCTAAATCAGCGCTTAATAGGAAGATTGTATCTTTTAAATACATATATTTTGGAAAGGAAGAAGGGTTAAAAATTAATGATCTTATGTCTATACAAAATCTGTAAATAAATCTTCATGTAAGAGTCATAATAGCTAAAAAGTGAAAACAGCCAAAGTGTCCAACTGAAGAATGTATTAGCAAAATTATTCAGCCACAAAAAGAATGAAGTACTGACATATATCAAAGAATGGATAAACCTTTACTATCATCTTAATTTTAAAAAATAACTCAGGAATGTTATATAAATGGGATGAAACAATGTGTAATCTTTTGAGATCTACTGTTTCCACTAAATGTAATTCCCTGGAAATTCATTGAAGTTATTGCTTGTATCAGTATTTTGTTCCTTTTTATTCATGAGTATTATTTCATTGGTGTATATATACTAGTTTATTTGACCATTCACCCATTAAAGGAAATCTAAGTTCTGGTTCTTATAAATAAATCTGTAAATCTTCAGATTTCTGTATAAACAACTTTTCATTTTTTGGGGATAAATGCTCAAGAACTTTTAGGCAGAATATATAAAGAACACTTAACATAAAAAACTAGTCTTGTTGTGTGAGCAAGAGATTTGAATAGCTTTTTTGTACAAACCAGATATATGAATAGCAATGCATATAATAAATTGTCACGAGTACTATTGTTATGTTTAGTATAAGAAAAATATGCATAGATGTTTTTAGAGATATCTTAATGTGTTCTTATATCTATCTAATATCAAATTACCCCCCAAAAGTTAACAATAAATGATAAAGGAAGGCTAGCAGGTGTATATGAATAAATAGGAAGCAGGTAGGGAGTTACCTACCAGATAAGTGGACCACTAAACAAACCCTAAGTATTATGCATAAAAGGTACAATTGATAGTGGAGATCTAACAGAATTAACATTTAACCTTACATATAGCATTGAAATGTATAATTTTAAAAGCTGGGGGCTGGGGATTTAGCTCAGCGGCAAAGCGCCTGCCTGGCAAGCGCAAGGTCGTGAGTTCGGTTCCCGGTACCGGAGAAATACCAATAAATAAATAAATAAATAAAAGCTATTAGAAATCTGAAAGAAATTTATCAGCATTATAAAAAGAGAAAAGATATTTAACCTACTGCAAGAAATCAGCAAGCAATATTTTATCCAACTAACTAAAAATCTAAAAACGTCCTTCTTGGTTATTATTGGTTGAAGAAAAACTTACAACTGTGTAGAGGATGAGATAACTATATATTAAAATTAATGAGATTTTATAAAACTGATCTCTGGGGCAATTAATTATCAAGAAATACTGGAAAAATTAGGCAGTCAACTTAATAAATTGGCAAAGGAATACAAATTCAAGTATAAAAAAGAATGTAGAATATAGATTACAAGTAGAAATTAATAAAAATCAGGAAAACAGTAGCATTAATTAATCCAGTTGCTTAATACTGGAGAGAAAACAAAAACATTCTATGCTTAGAAAGACATAAGAAAGAAAAAAAAATAGAAAAAATGGCCTATAAAGGGTAAAATGTAGTACTTTTTTAAAATGTTGAAAAATCAGACAAAATAAGATTGTTAAGACTATTTCCTATAACCAGAGGCCCCCGTACTCTGCCTCACACTCTCTCAGTCTTTTGTGAGCCCGTAGACTGACTGCTTACTGACAGCTTCCCAGAATTGGGGTGTGGGTGGGGTGCAGGGAGTTAATATCCTCTGCCACTTGCACCCTCGAACCACCTGGACTCTTGGCTTCTTTCTGTCCTTCCCTGGGAAAGTCCTGGCAGGCACGCCATGCTTTCCTCACAAGGTCCTGGCAGGACTGAGCCTTGGTTGTTTGTCCAGAGTGGTAACCTGCTCAGTGTTATGCCCTCCTATTAGCTTTTTTCCTTTCCTGTTTGAGTCTGCTTGTTCCTCACAGCTGTTTCCTGTGGTATTCTCCTCCCCAATAAAATACCATACACAAGGCTTCATTTAAGGCTGTGCTTCTAGAATGGAACTTGGAATAAGAGATCACCTCAAAGCTTCCAGAGTAGTTTACAGCAAATTATGTCAGAGTTTCAGTGAACAGCTATTGGCAAAGCAACAGGATGGATTTTAGAGCATAGGAAATGATGGATTCCATAGCTCACATGATAGGTCCTGATCCAGACCTATCAAAGTACTCAGATACTTTTGTATTGGAAAGATACTTTGTTTTCCTAAACATTTCCCTGTGTTTTAGAACAAAGTGGTCACTATTGAATTTAATTAGAAATTTGGGTGGAAGATGGATTTCAGGACATAACAATATGACAACGTTAAATTTAGTACAAAACATAATAAATTTCTATGTGCAAGGTATGGTGATAAACTTCCAGTACCTTCCAATGGAATCCAAAAATAACTCTCAGGGAGCCTTCAGACTTCTATATAATACATGACAAATAAACACAAAACATATATTATAAATACTGTATGCCCGGCATCCCAAAATGAAAAAAGGATATGTCCTCTAGGAATTTATGTCAGTGAGGAAATAAGGCAAGTATGTATGAAATAAGGCAAGTATGTATGAAATAAAATTGTGATGGAGAAATTAAATGACCAGTTAAGAGGCCAGAAAAAACTGAGAATATTAATGTGTTTGGAGGAGACTTTGCAGAGGACATGGGATTTGAAAGGGGATAGTGAAGACGCGGTGGAATACTCAGTGTAGCACAGGCTGAACAGCTAACTCTGTTACCCACTGCCTCCCCTCCCCTTTTACAAACATAAAGACTATACAGTAGCTCCCCAACTTATGAGTGAGTTCTGTTCCAGGAGAAAGTTAGTAACTTGGATTTGCTCCTAACTCTGACAAAGTCAGTCTTGTACAGTACACCTGGGAAAGTTCGCACTGTACTGTGAAAGTTTGTGACTCAAATGTTTGTAAGTTGGGGATTTACTCTACAGTCAAAGCTACATTTTTTTCTTTTAGCTTATGTTCGTCAGGTGACATATGTTATTTCCCACAGTTGTCTTTCCCCCTTCAAGGTGTGAAGATACCAGTGAACAAAATGAAATGGTAGCTACATACAGGAATGGCAGATCTTTTGGGGTTGCTTTCGTACCATTGCCATCATGGGGTTTAAGTGATGAGGCAGCACTAAAGTGTCTTGGCCATTTCGGGGTTCCTCATGCACCAACTGGCCTGTAGTAAATCCCTGGGTCTCTGTTACCTGTGAGAAGCCTAACCCATACAGGTATTAAGGCACATTTTGGATGCCTTGAGAATAGTGACGTGCCTGAAGCTTGTGTTAGAATTGGGCAGGGTTGGTTAGATTAAAAAAGGGAAGGGCTTAGAATTCACTTCAATCTTAATTAAACTGATAGATAATGAAATAAGAATAGTAAAAATGTAATTCATAGAGTTTAGGTGTTAGGCAAGTGGGTGATTATTGTCAAAATCTTTATTTTTTCATGTTTTTGAAATTTTCCATGTGTTCAGAAAATAAAGGTTGCAGGAGAGGACTTTAAGTGGTTCAAGTAAATTTGAGTTTCCTGAAAAACTTCTAATTGTTATTGCTAGATTATTTAAATTTTATGAAATTTCAGAGTCATATTAGATAACTAGAGATGGCTAAATGCAGCTTGGAATTCATACAGGAAGGAAGTTGTAAACTAGAAATACTAGTCTGGACAACTTTCAGGCAAGATTCTAGAATGATTCACAGTTGGTACAAATATTACAGATGACAGATTAATAAAATCAGATGTGCAAAATGTTTTCATATTAACTCTGTTGACATAGTTTCATGTTAATTAAGAGTAAAGCAAAGGTGGTAAATACATATAATTTAAAATTTTTTAAATAATACAAGGCAATCCAAAAGTACAGCTGCTATATTCAAGTAGTTTTAAAAGGGTAGGACAAAGGGTTATGAAAAGGTGTAAGTTTTTACTTTGGTTTTTTTCATAGTGGAATAGGAAGTTTACCTAAACTAGCTCATTTTTTCTTTGTAAATTGTTGCAAATAAATGGTTAACTTTTAGCTATATTACTGTTTAGGAAGAAGCAGAAGAGAAATTGAGAAGGCAAAATGAGATGAAGCAAGATTTTGAGGAACAAATGGCCTTGAAAGAACTAATACAGCAGGCTGCAAAAGAAGAAGAGGAAATCTTTAGGAAAACCATGCTAGCTAAACTTGCTGAAGATGATCGGATAGAATTAATGAACGCTCAGAAACAAAGGATGAAGCAGCTGGAACACAGAAGGGCTGTGGAGAAACTTATTGAAGAGCGTCGTAACCAGTTCCTTGCCGACAAGGTAAGAAAAGTGTTTTTGGCATCATTGAACAATAACTGGCTCATCCATTCTTCAACTGAACGTTAACTGAGAACTTTTATGTGCCAGACAATGACAGAGATCTGTTTATCAATCACATAATATATACATTTTCTGACTAATCATTTCCGAAAGCATCTCAAATCTATTTGTTAATGCTTTTTATGTTCTAAAACACTGGTTGGTGTTGCAAACATAAAGGTAAATAGAACCAAGTCCATATGTCATTTGTGAATTTATGATCTTGTCTAAGAACAGATATAAAAGTTAATTATAAAGATATGTTATGCATGTGATTATAAGTACACAGGTATGGATGTGTTGCTGTGACATAGAGAAATGACAGAGTGTGAATTCTCTGCATGCTGTTTTAAGAAGGTGGGCTTTGTCCAGTGGGAGCCACAAAATAATTAGGAAAGCTATATGCTAAGATCTTCTTACTGGAAGATGATTCAAGTAGCAACGTTGAGAGCAAATGTATGGGAGTTAGACCGGAGACAGGGAGACCAGTAGGAAGCTATTAAATTGTAGCGGTAAGAGATAAAACCCATGTGTGTGTACAGAGGACCCTGAGAGATGTTAATGATACAGAATTGATAGTGCTTGTTGAGCAGTTACATCTAGAGAGGTGAGAGAAGTCTTGTGAGACTACTACTACCAATAAATAATACTGTTTCTTTCGTCTTTAACAAGTGAGTGCTATCCTGGAGGAAGAGTATGTAGAAGGAAAAATAGACTTCAAGAGGGTAAATAATTCTGTTCGCCTATATTGATTTTGAGGCCAAAGGCAAAGATTTCTATTTAGAAATGTTGGTTTAGGAGTTGGAGAGGGAACTAGCTTTGTGACGTTGGACACTGATTTATTTGTATATGTTCATTGATGAAACCAAAGTAATATTTATATAATGTATGTTTCTGGATTGTGTGAAGAACCAAGTGTGAAAGTGCTTTGAAAAGATAAAGAGCTTTAAATATGAGAAGAAGAATTTTTTAGGCATATAATAAATATAAATAATAAAAATGGTAGTAACAGTAACTTTTTTGAGCACTTATGTATGTCATTCATTCTAATCTCATTGTAAACAAAGGAATAACTTCTTTTAACTTTCAACCCTTTGATGTAGGTGCTATTACCATCTCATTTTAAAGATATAGAAGCTAAGGTATAAAAGAAATATCGTATTTATTGCCCAAAGTTCTGGGTAAATAAGTAGCAGAACTGGGATCATTAAGTTAATTAATATCAGAATGCTAATCTCTCTCTTCACAAGTAGACTAAAATAGATTCTCAGGCTACTTAGAATCAACAGATTCTCACCTGCTAGATATTTTTGTATGTGTTGGGAAGGGAACCAAAACAAATGTCTGGTGACTTCTGATCTAGTGCAGAAAATAGAGTATAAACAGATATCCAGTGGACTGGGTTATATGTAAAACTCCAAGATATAGTAAGAATGCATTATTAAATGTACACTGTAAACACTGATAGACTTTGGTAGTGCACAATTTACTAGTTGTGAACTACACTTGTAGTGAACTTTGGGGTTTACCTGGAAATACGCAAGAGTGAAAACAGACAGGAAAAGCTATTCTTCATTGGCAGCACGTGGCAACATACTACATGGAGAAACTCGAGTGGTGCGCAGAGGGTTAGACAAAATACAGTGGGGACTGACATATAATATGATCATCAGTAAGAGAAAAATAGTAATTCAAGAGTGGAGCAATGACCTAGAATAGGCAATAAAAAGAACAATAGGAGGAAAGAAAAAGAAAAATATTTTTAAAGAAGGAATGTATAAGAATTATATGATTCTTTTTTTCATATAGGATAGAGTGAAGGAAGGAGTCAAAATTATTCCAAGGTTCCAAATATGATAAACTCAAACAACACAAATGCTATTACAGTATATTTTGACTTGGAGTTAAAAGATATAGCAACTTCCATTTTAGGCAAGATGAGTTTAAAAGAGAAATGCAAGTTAAAAACACCTTGAGGGCAAACAGAAGAGTGAAGTTTAGGCTGTGTTTTCTTAGAAATTTTTATCTGGAATTCAGTAGCATATAAAGATATAGATACGGTGTGAAATCTTGAGATGCTTTGCAAGTTAGGTCTCCAGAGGTAAACAGAATCAGACAAATACTTTCTAATTCTTGTAGCCTGAATCTTGGTTAAAGAATGTAATCACTTAGTCACCCAGATCCATCACCCTGGAATCATTCCTGGAGTTTTTCTTTCTCATAGAAAGACTTTCAATCAGCCGCCAGATCCTGCTGATTACTCAGTGATCTCTTAAATCCAGCTTCTCTTCTTTGTAACTGCTCAGGCATTCACTAGTACTCCCAACAACTACCAAAAGTGTCTTCTCACTGGTGTGCGTGTAACTGTAGTCCTTCTGCCACATTATAGTGCTCTTTTTAATCTCATCATATCCTTCTGGTAAACCTCAGTGAATTCTTAGAGGATAAAAATCTGTTTCTTAGTCTTGATATAAACCAATTGTGGTCTAACTCTAGCATTTAAGGGAGATAGTATCTATAAAGCACCTTAAAAAGTCAGTCATAATTATTGTTCTTACAGTTAAAGTAATGGTAAGAGATCTATAGATATGTGTATACATATATATAAAATATATATGCACACCAGTATCTTTTGAACTTAGTGTCATAAATCATCAATTTTATAATGTAATTTATTGCAAAATAGTTTTATTTGAAAACTTCCCAAAAGGTTAATATATTTTGTAACAGTCAGTAAAATTTGATTTACATTTTTAGCAACGTGAACTGGAAGAATGGCAGTTGCAGCAAAAAAGACAAGGGCGTATCAATGCAATTATTGAAGAAGAAAGACTAAAACTTCTAAAAGCACATGCTACAAAATTACTAGGATATCTCCCTAAAGTAAGTGAATTTTTTTTTTGTTTGTTTGTTTGTTTTTTTGTTTGGTTTTTCTCCGGTACCAGGAACCGAACTCACAACCTTGTGCTTGCCAGGCAGGCGCTTTGCCGCTGAGCTAAATCCCCAGCTCCTAAAGTAAGTGAAATTTATCTCAAGGTAATCTTCATGTCCTTGAATAGTGGAAAGGACATGACATTAGGATATTAGAGGGTGTAGCTGTCGAACACTTCTTGCTCTGTTATGGGCAGCAGTGGGATCTTGGCTAGGCTTTAAATCTTGCTAAGCACATTTGAACATCTCTAAAATAAGAGAGTCAGTCTTGACACATTGAGGTATATATTGAAGTGTTACAATTATATTTTAGAGATTCTTTTCTCCCTCTTCAGCATGTATCTAAAAATAAGCTATCCTACAACCATTATACTTTGTATACCAAAGATAATACCTACATGAAAACGTAAATGCAGACACCAATGAGCAGTGCATGCTTGAACTGAAGGTTATGATAGGTACTAGGTAGTCTCACTTTTAAAAAGTGCAGTGAAACCTTGGCTTGTGAGAGTAATTCATTGTGCTTGTAATCCAAAGCACTTGTATATCAGAGTAGCAAGAGAGAAAGATGAACTAGTTGTGATCACATGACATTCAGCCTGCCATACTAGTATTGTAAGACATCACTCATTTATCAAGTTAAAATGTCTTAGAAATGTTCTCTCATCTTGCAGAATACACACAGATTTAGTTATTCGCAGCCTGATGTTTGACTATAATTCCAAATAATAGTGTGTTTTTCTGTTTATCTGAGATACATTGTTACTATTAATAAAATGACTTTCATAGTCACATAATCATCTAGACTCATGTAAATAAAGTTATCATTATTCAAATATAGAAATCATGCTGTTTAGTTTTTTAATTTGAAAACCTTGTGTTTAGGCCAGTACTAAGGAAGGAGAAGAAGAAATATATGAGTGATAATTGTCAGGCCATACAACCTTATATTCTAATTGGCTAGATAGAATTAATGAATGAAAATAATGATAAAATCCATATGTGACCAATAAATCTCATAAAATAGATTATAAATTCTAGGAGAGTCTTTGGTTTCAGCATTTTTTTGTGGGGAAAACAGCTGTGCAGGCAGGAGGACATAGTAAATCTGATATCTCTTTATCCAGTGTCCCTGAATGACTAATTGCCTTTTAATCTTGTAGAGTTCAAGATAAATATTATGTTTAACTTAATTTTGAAGAACCTTTTGCTGTATACTGTGTAGGAAGAGTAAAATAAATGGAAGAGTGAAAAATTTCAAAGCGCTATTTAAAAAGTTTAACTCCAAACCTGCATTCTTTGATGCCAGGTTGAATATTTACTGATTAACCATACAACTGAGGCAAGAAGGACATGTCCACACATGAATCCACTAAAGCTCAGTTTCTTACCCTCTAACCTTTCTCATATCATATTACAGAGCTGTTTTAAAGGAACAGTACCAAATAAATTCAATTCCTATGCTTCCAGGCAATCCAAGCAGTAGTATCTATAATTGTAAAGTAGATGAGCCCAGATTCCTATCATAAGTTCCTGCCCTGGAGCTGATAACTTTGGGAAATCCTGATTTTTATTTAAATGCTATTGAATAGATTAAATGCTATTGAATAGATTTATCTTGGATGATTTTTGCTACCTCATGTCTGTGTATTTGTTAGTCTCAAAAGCATTTTGTGAAATATTCTGACATTTACAAGTAACCCATGAAATATCTTTCTCCTAGGGAGTATTTAAAACAGAAGATGATGTTGATATGCTTGGTGAAGAGTTTAGGAAAGTGTATCAGAAAAGGAATGAAATTTGTGAAGAGAAGTGATAACAAGATTTGGTAAAACCTGGGTGCTTTCGTACGTAACCACTAGATGTCAGTGTAACTTTTGTTTTATAATTTAGTGACAGTAGGAATCCACTGTGTTACTGGAATTTTCTAAAACATCACCTTATTTCATAATTCATAAAAAATTGCCAGATAAAAATTAAACAGCTGAATGTCTTTATCTGCAAAATTGTTTTTATTATTGTACTGATAATTTGAAGGTCTCAATTTTATAACATCACCCCGTGTTATAACAGTCTCTCTATATGTAAGTATAGGCCCAATCTAGGAGGCCAATTTTTTACTACGTCCTTTATTGTCCAGAGACCTTTCTGTACCCCATCCTGAAGAAAATCTATTCATGTTGACTTATAAAGGCTTTGGGCCACAGTGAAGTGTTCTCTGTCTCTATGTTTGAGAACTTTACTTCCTTAGTTTGGCCAGGGAAATACTGAGAATTTGGTCTTAAAGCACATTTTTGAATGGGGATTCATCTTGGCTAGAGGAGTCATGTGGGGCTCAGAGAAGATTAACTAAAAGCCCAGGAAACTGGCAGCCAGGGAGGGACATACACCTTGATGCAGAAGATCAATTTGAGAGAAGAGATACGTACATCTGGGTTAGCAGTTAAAAAAAGGGGAAGTGCCTTCTGGGTATTTTCCCAGAAGAATTAAAAACATCATACTACAGCGATATATGTGCACCCATGTTTATAGCAGCACAATTTGTTATAGCTAAATCTTGGAAACAACTCAAATGTCCATGATGTGAGGAATGGATAAGAAAGATGTGGTATTTTTATACAATGGAATATTACTCAGCTATAAAAAAATAAACTCGAGGCTTTTGTAGGTAAATGGATCCAACTAGAGACCATACTCGGAAGTGAAATAAATTGGACCCACATGTGTAAACATCATATTGTTTCCCTGGTGTAGGAACCTGAAAGAGTAAGTAAAACTCAAAATGTACAATAGATGATACAATAGAGGCTCAAAGGACGGAACAACTGGGCTGAGTGTATGAAGAAAAAAGAAAGAAGGAAGGCTATATATGTATATATATATATGGGATAACTGTACTGCTGATGTCTGATAGTATACTGAAAGGCACAATTAATGCTTAAAATTTTTTATGTTCTGACCAATTTTGCATGCTTATAATCTGAGCAACTGATTTGAAGACCACAATATGCAATGGAACAACCACTGGTAAATTCCTACCATTTTCTCTAGTGAAAATGTGTATTATCTCTGATGTTTTATCTAATAATTATTTTCTTATTCTCATTAATGGTTTGAACAGTCTCTCATTCTTACATCTTGTAATCTTAGTGACATAGTTGAAGATAACAATATGTAATATAACGACCACTGTTAATTCCTGTCATTTTGTTTTGAAACCCATTTTGTTTTGTTTTTGTTTGTCATTTTGTTTATCACTTTTAATGTTCTTGCTTTGTTTTGGTTTTTTGTGATGCTGGTATGCTACTATTGTTCTTTTTTTTCTTTTACTACTCTCTTTATTTTATTTTATTTTATTTTTTTTGGTTTTTCGCCGGTACCGGGAACCGAACTCACAACCTTGCGCTTGCCAGGCAGGCGCTTTGCCGCTGAGCTAAATCCCCAGCCCCTACTACTCTCTTTAAAGTTACAAGAAGGCAGGGGGAAGTGGTCCCCAGGGCTCCCACTGTCACCCACCCCAGGAACAGCCGTCTGGAGAACTTACCAAATAGCCAGAGAGACCCAAAGAGTGCTGCAGAGACCAGTCTGCCAGGATAGACATGGGGATATACAAGCCCTTTGCCCCTCATCCCTTCTGCAAATACTGAGGAAGCTGCAACCCTGCAGCATCCATGCCAGTGCTCACTAAGGGCAGGGGAGGCTTCCTCCCCTCCCACCCAGCTCGGGAAGCAAGAGGATAAACAAGTGTACTATAAGCTCCCACAGAGCTGCCTGTGCCGGGAGTCACCATTTGTTACTCTGCGTCAGTACTGGGCACATTTTAGTCCCAGTGAGTGCCCTGAGGTTGTCGAAGTCACCACTGGGCACCTCAAGTTTGTCGCACGCTCTCCAGGACCTCCATCTGAGACTCAGAGTTGACACTGGGCCATTTGAGTCTGTGCCTGGCATCCAGAGATTGCCTGAGTCCCCACTCAGTGCTCTGTGCCTCACGTCATCCCTAGACCTGCCAAGGACTCTGTCTGGCACCCAGCACTAGTCCTGTGCAGCTTGGTCTCCATGGCGAGCCCCAGGCCCACGTGAGTCTCTCTCCAGTACGCCACGCCTGCCAGAGCTCCACCCAGCACCAGGCGTCTCACCCCTCCCTGGCCACACTGGAGTCTCCATCTTGCACTTTGCCATAGTCCCAGGCACATCTAGGTCTCAGCTGAGTAGCCCAGAACCACCCAAGTCTCCACTCGGTGCATTAAGCCATTCCCATGCTCGCTGGAGTTCTGCCTGGCTGTGAGTACTGGTTAAAGCTTGACCTGGTCTGCCTGGTGCACCAGCCCATGTGAGACTCTACCCAGCACCAAGCACCTTCTTTGGGCCCACTGGAATCTCCTTATATCAGCCCCGGGCACACCTGAGTCTCTACTGTGTACCTCAGGTCTGCACAAGCCTCCATCTGGTATTTCGAGCTGGTCCCACAGCCACTGGATTCTCCACCTGGTATCCGGTGCTGGTCTTCAACCAGCTCAAATCTACACTAGGCATTTCAGGCCCACTTGAGTCTCAGCCCAGAGTTCAGTGTTCCATACCCTCCCTCCCTGGGCCCAGGTCTCAACTTGGACAGTTGCCAAGGACAGGGACTTACACCTGGGGGACCCTTCCAACAGAGGGCTCTCTACTCAAACCCACAGCCTATAAATGGGCAGAGAAGAATGTGACTTGACTTAAAGACTGTAGGCTGTGGACGCAAAATACTCATCTACAAATATGTAGTATTTTTTTTCTGCTTTCTTCTGAGCTAAATTGTTTTTTCTTCTCTTCTTTTGCACTCTTCTGCATTTGACTTTTTGGGTAAACATAAAAATAAACCTATAAATTATGTGTCCTGTATTAAATCTATTCCCTTGCAAACCCTGACTACAAGATCCCTGTGACTCTGAAGGCTATACTTTGGTTAGAAGGTACAGCAGATCCTTCTGGCTAGTACTAAATCTCTTCTCAAAATCAAAAACTGGTATGCATGTGAAGTCGGGAATTTTATCACCGATTTTCTTGTTTCCCCTTTTTAAGTTGACTTTGTTTTATTTTTTTAATTAGGTCTACCTTTCTCTCTCTTTCAATTTGTTTCCTTATTTTCTTTCTTACTCTAATCTCTATACTTTTTTGGGGGAGTGCTGGGAATCAAACTCAGGACCTTGTGCTTAAACAGGCACTTGTGCCGCTGAGCTATATCCGCAGCCCTACACTTTATTTATCCTTTTCCTTGTTTTTTTTTTTCCTGTTACCATTATGTAACACTACTAGATGATATTAACAACAAAATATATCTTACTAGTCCTTAAATTTCCCACATCCTTGTTTTGTTGACTTACTCTAGACATGAGTTTGTGATCTCTGGATTGTATTCTTTAGCTTCATTGCACATTTGTGGTTTCTAAGTTCATTTGATATTTGTTCATTCTATCATTTCTCCTCCACAAAATCAAAAACTGGTTAATGAAATGCAAGTCTAATCATCACACAGCTAAACACTTAAAAATAGAGCCTAGCTATAAAGCACCCATAAGAGGAAAGCCTTTATCCTCCCTTTGTGCAAAATTCATAGCCAGGGAACCTTGAGTTCCTAGATAGGAATAAACTCCCTTCTCCAACTCTACCCAAAACTAAACCAAACACCAGATATACCAATAGCAAAGGCTATTATATAGCACCCTGGATTTGGAAGCAAAGTACCAACTGTAATAATTACAATGAGATAATTACAAATGCATGGCAAACCTCTGATTTATCTGAAGTACCAACATGCTAATTATACAAAGATATGCAGTTACAAAAATAACTACTTATATATTTGTACATAATGTCTTATAGTTTTAAGGTTGTCATTAAGAGAATGGTATGACCCACTAGCTGAAACTGATCACCTGGTAAGGGGAAATTCTTTATTTGTGAGCTTTCCCCAGATTGGATTAGTACTAGCCAGAAGGATCTGCTGTACCTTCTAACCAAAGTATAGCCTTCAGAGTCACAGGGATCTTGTAGTCAGGGTTTGCAAGGGAATAGATTTAATACAGGACACATAATTTATAGGTTTATTTTTATGTTTACCCAAAAAGTCAAATGCAGAAGAGTGCAAAAGATCTGTCCACATGCTAGAGTCCCAAAGAATCCAGCTGAGGGCCTGGATTCCATGGCAATGTCCTCCATAAGTCCAGCTGGAGACCTACAGCCCATGACAATATCTCATGCAAGTGTATATCAAAGATCTGCACTGGGAAGGCTCAAAGGTCAATAATGGAAGCTAGAAAGTCTGCACCAGTGGGATGACGGATCTGTGCCAGCAGGCTGAAGGATCTGCACTGGAGCCAGGAAGTTATGTTCAAGATAAGGACCAGAGCTCACCTGAAGAGAACAGCAGCCATCCTCAGCAACAGTGAGGACCCGAGCTCCTCTGAAAATGAGAAGAGCTGAGTTCATATCAGAAAAACCACCGTGACAAGCTTCCCCAGCAACAGCACCATCTTTCCCTCTAGTCTCCTTTTCTGCTGTTAGCAACAATCCTCAGATGGGCCTCCCACACCCAAAACCACACTGACTCAGTTCATCTGGGTATTCCAAGTTGACCATTAGTTAATCTACCACAGACCTCAAGGGAGCATGCAAACAGGACAGCTTTCTCTGGAAGCACCTACTCCCACTGAATCCCCCAGAAATGGAATACTGCGGAAATGACCAGAGGGCCTAGATAAGCGGCTTTGAACCTGTGCCCAGGCAGGCATTTAGCTCACACAAGTGAATTACTTTAATGATTTTCACTCAGAAAATAAATTCCATTTCCAAATGGATGTAGTGTGAATCATAGGAATTCAATAAACCAAGTAAGAGTGAGCTTAATTCCCCTTCAGAATACGAGAACATAGACGTCTCTTGGATTATTGCAACTAGTATTTCTTCCATTCATGGATATGTGTCCGACAGATAAATAGACCTTAGCTTTTTTGATGTGTGTGGGGTCTGGAAAGCTAACATAGTGTCTTACTTTTCTCTCTCATTGCTGGGACAAAATACCAGACAACCAAAGTTAAGGTAGGAAAGGTTTATGTAGTTCACAGTCTGTAGAGGTTTCAGTCCATAATCATCTGCCTATAAGGCAGGGTGTTGCGGCAGACAGGTGTTGCAGAGCAGAAACAGTTCGTGGCAGCAAAGCAAGCAAGAGAGGAGAA